GGCTTGCAGATATGTTAATAAAATTACTGAATAATTTATTTAATAAATTAATAAACATTTGGTGATTAGTAACTATAATCAATTTATGTATTATATTTATTGATGTCTGAATATATAGCACTTACTTGATTAATCACATTTTGATTTTGATATTGCACAATTCAAACTTTTCTTCTGATTTCCTAAAAGTAATTTATGTATGAAAAGCTCCAAATGATGCTTTTCTTATAAAATTTATTCCATTAGCCTATCATATTTTCTGTTTAACATTATTTCCATAAATCTATTTATTTGGGAGACCAAGAGCAAAATCCTATTTTTCTCTGACTCAGTCATATGGCTGATATTTAATTAAAAACAAAAACTGATTATAAACTAATGATTCAGAACATCCCCCTAGGGGATAAGAGAGGAAAAGCTGACATAATATGACAGATGCTTTCTTTCAACCACCAGTTTCAGGAAACACATTCTAAATACGAAAGTCAATTTATTTTCAGAAAATATATTGCTGGTATAATAAAAACAAAATTAAACAAATAATCTTTGAAAGAGGGAGACATCAGGGTTATGAATAGTAAATCACTGCAATTTGACCAAAAAAAATAAAAGAATAGTATGCTTCATCAGTTGTTCATTTCTCTTTGACAGTGAATTACAACGGGGGAAAATCTGACTTCTGTGCAATGGATACTGCTGCATTTTAGAAGGCAAAAGGTAAACACCAGCCCCTGTTAGCAGTGATTCTTACAGCTTTCACTCTGCACAAAGCACTTCATTTAAGTAGAGATACTTGTGACTTAGCAAGATAATTTCAAAAGATAAAAGTGCCATTTACATTTCATATGAAAATTCTTCTGTATGTAATACCATTCACATTGAATGTACATGTATGTGAGTAATGTGAAAATGAGTGAAAACTTAAAGAATAAAGATTTTATTATTATCAAATACTAGAATGTTGGACTTTAGGACACATTACATCTTTGTAATACTTGCATAGTAAAGATATTTGCATAGAGGACAGAAAGCTATTAAAATCTATTCTAAAATTTGGCTGCAGAAAAACATGTTACTAATGAGGGAGAAGCTGATGGATCAATAGAGATGAAATTATATGATATATCAGAATGAGTCTTGAACAAATCTGTGCTTTGTTGTTCAACTAGATAAAAATTAATTTCAAGAAAATGCAATTTGTAGAAAGAGAATATATCCAATACCACTGTTTGCTTCCCACTCCCAACCCCCACCTTCCAGCAAGAGAGTGACAGGATTTGGGCTGATAGGAGAGTCCGTTATGCATTTTCTGGGATGTACTTTAGTGTTCCTGATATAGCCATATCCTTTTCTCTTTTCCTTTCTTTCTGTTGGAATGCAGATATTGTAGTAGAGATATAGGATCCATGTCAAGCTCACAAATAATAAAACTGATAAGAGGAAAAGAGAATCATTCAGATACAGGCCTTGATATATAGTTGATCCACAAAACTGACAGTCTTAATAATGCTTGTCATCATCTTTCAGAGTTACATCCTTTAATATTAGCTGCATCCCATTATCTTGAGACTAAGTCACACATGATAACCAAAACAAGGCTTATATTTTTCTTATAGTTCAAGGCTCAATTCTACTAGTTGTAAGTAGATAGTATAAATGCAGAGTTGTTCAGAGGACAAACTGTAGCTTAAGAAGATGTTGTGAGGAGATAATTGAAGGAGAAATTTACCAAGCAATATTAGTGGGCAAAATCTCTGGGAAGCAGAAAGTGAGTCTTAGATACAATACAATAAGGAATAAGCACCTTATTCTGGACTCTGACTAAACCCGAGTTTGTTTGCTGGACTTGCAGTAAAGCAGGTCACTGACACATTTAGTATGCAGCAAGGAAAGGGTTTATTTGAGAGGAAGCCAGACAAAGAGATGGGAGGACAAGCCTCAAATCCTCCTCCCCAAAGGGTGAGAGTCAGGGCTATTTTAAGGTAAACTACAAAGCATCTGTGTATAGAGGAGACAAGCTACTGTCACTCAAAATCAAATAAAAGAAGTTAGTAAGTAGGGGAGGGTTGAAGTCATTATGTTGTGTTCAAAGAGAAGGTCAGTCTTCCTGACAGGTTCTGGCCTGCTTCTTGGTTAAGCTATCTGTGAAACAACAAAATCAGCATTTTGTTGTCATGATGCCAGGCAAGAATGTTATCTATAAAAACATGGTGACAAGGCACATTCTGAGAACAAGCAGAGTTGGATAAAAAGTTGTAGTTGCATTTATTAGTCTTATTACCAGCTTCTGAAGTGCATGCTGCATTCTCACACTTGGCCACCAGTCAGCACTCTTTTAACAACTCATAAATGATGCAATGTGTGGGATGCCTGGCTGGCCCAGTCAGTAGAGACTGTGGCTCTTGATCTTGGGATTATGAGTTTAAGCCCCACACATTGGGTTTGGAGACAGAGCACATTTACTATGATTATAGGTGTTAGTTTCCAACGAGATTATTTATTCATTTCTTTATAACCAGTCAACACAAAGGCAGGTATTTGTTTGGTGGTATGACTAATTGGCAAACAACTAAGGTACCAACAGAACAGGCTCATTCATCAGCACGTAAGAGATATTATCCAAAGATACTAGAAACACATTAGGCCAGGGGTTCTTAAACAACTGCATACAAACCAACCAAAGTTTGGTTAAATATTACTGATATTTTGACTTAATTCATAATTTTAGAAGAGTAAAGTCTTAAAAATCTTACACAGTTTTATATACATATTGGTAATTTCTTATATTTGATATTTACAATAACTTATTATGTTGTAACTTTAACACTAAGGTCTCCTTTCCTTTCTGAATCATATCTATAATACTTTTCAATTCACTTTAGGCTGAAAAGATGGAATTAAAAATTGTTCTTTATTCTGTTTTCAATGAGACATCCTAAATATATTTAGCTTCTATGAGATCTAATGTGCCTCTGTACTATTATACAATCTTTATCTTAGAAAAGGAGGCCAGGAAAATTTGTAAGAGAAAGCAGGACGCCATAAGACTAAAGTTGGTTTATTCCTTAGAGTTCAGTTTTATAAATTTAAACAAGAAAAGGGAATAAAAGGAGGGCATTTTCTGTTTTATATTGTTTTTTTATGATATTGCAGTCATTACAAGCTTGCTATTTTGTAATAATGTTTACTAGAATTGGAGGCAAGCCACTAATCAGAATATTATACAAAATATATGCCAAAATAATAAGTAAAAGCTATACTTGGACAGTAGTACTGCCTCAGAGATTAAAAGGAATAAAAGTCACTTCATAAAGAATAGAATCTGTGACCAGGTCATACCCAGGAAAATAGACCAAGAGTGAATTATCTTATAAACCCAAGTTTGGACCAAGTGCAAATTTTTTTTTTGTTTCTATTTGGACATTTGAAATAATCTGATTAATTTTCATGTAATTGTAACCAGCTGGTTTTGACTTGAGGCATGTAAGCAGAAAATCACTATCCTTTTACTTCTTCTTTATATATGTTCTGTTAATGAACTATTTCCTGCTTCTTGTATGAAATCTTGAGTAGGTACTCTTACCCCTTTATTTTTTATTCTTTCAGTTAATTTTATCCCAATAAAGTGTCATAGAAAATTTTCAGTGTTTTCCATTAAAGACTCTACATTCTAATAGTTAAGGGGAGCTTCATGTTTGAAAACCTTCAGTAACAGAGGAGTTAAGGGGAACCTGCTTATCGTATCGTCTATTCTATACTGTATAGTCTTTTTGTTTTGTTTTGTTTTGTTTTGTTTTTGCATATACTGCTTTGAAGTCTGCCAGACCCAAGGAGAGATAAAAGATAAGAAAGATCTTATGTAGTTTAAATTTAACTCACTTAAAATCTGAACTTGATTATCTTTGATATGGATGTCTTCAGTTTTGGGTTTTTTCTCATTATGGGGTAATATTTTATGTCATTTAAAAATTTCATATCTGACTCCTACATCTGTATTTTCCTACAACAGTTGATGCCTTCTCAAGCTACTTGATTTCAATTCCACTTAGCCTCTGTCTTCTACTTTTTCATCTATTTGTTGGAGTCCATATCTACCTCCTAATAACTCACTTGAGGAGAGACTTTTATTAACAGAATTCCAGGCTAGCTCTGGGGGCCCACATATGCTTCACTAGAAACAATTAACACTGCCCACCATAGTTAAAAGTGCAACTCTTTTCTGTTTGTTTGCTTTCCTGCCAGCTAAATCCATCTTCTTATTCCTAGATTATTTTTGGAAAGTAAGAAAAATTTCTGTTCCAATTCCTATGACATTCACACTCATGAGGTTCAGAACAAGCAGTTTAAGTAAATCTTTTGAGGACTCTTTACTCATTTGCTTACAGTGAGAACAAAATACTTTCTTCTACCCCTCTGTGTGGGCTCCCTTAAAGACAAAGGGCTAAAATGGATATGAGAAGGATTCACTCTGCTTCACAGGAAAGACAGATCTTCCTGAGCTTGGATGTGTATCAATAAGTCCAGACAATTTTCTTAGTTCTGTTTTTTTTCTGGATAACTTGGAATCCCTACCCTCCAAGATATACAGAGGAAGAAAGTGATTTTGAGATTCTGCAAGTTAAATCAACTCATATCTCTTGATTTGGGGGGGGGGAGTGGAAAATGCACACCAGAATGAAAAACGTTATAGATTGACTGATTATGAAAGGGAAGGCTACAGTAAAGAAGTAGGTGGCAGACTTCGTTGTGATGATCAGTACATTATGCAGTACAAGATATAATGATGCACATTTGGACATGGAGAAGGAAACTAGAAGGTAAAAATAGTTACAACCAACACAGCCTCTGCACCTCTCTTATGTTGAGCAAGGAAGCTGAGTCTGATGGTCTATTACTGTTCTTTAAATAAAATAGCAACTTGTTACTTTGGCAATTTATCATGCTATTTGTTCAAATACTTTATTTCTTGTAAAAAATTGGCTTGATGGGTAGAGACGAGCTTTTCTTATTTAGATGTTCACTTTAGTGACAACTTTAAAATACATTTTTATCATTTTGTGTTTCTCAAGTTCAATCTCTGTGGGAAGCAATCTATTATAAGGCAGATTTGTTCAACAAGTCCTGCAGAGTTTCACAAATTCCATCCTCCAGGGTTGTTATTTTTGGTGCTAGGAAACATAAAGAAAATCATTAAATAAAAGTAAGAAATAGATATAAAACATACACATGAAAAAACAATATATGCCTTTTTTTAAATATATTTATAAATATAGAGATCAGCCCGAAAGAAAACTCACTCATTAGTTACCAAAATTAGACTTAAGTTGATTAAAATTAATACTTAAAAGGCATATAATGTTTTTGAATTTTAGGTAACATCTATCCATTAAACAATTAAATGGCAGTATTTCTTTGAAAAGTATTTGTATCTTTTTTATTATTTTTAATAAGAATCATCATACCAAGTCCATAGGAGAATACAATGATAGTATACTAAGGTCATTCCTAGATCACACTCCTATTAAGACAAAAGAATTCTAAATAAACCTCAGTTTCCTCATAGCCATTACTGAACAAATAAACTTTATGGCTAAATAGAATATATGAATACATATAAAACAGAATAGATACAAGTCAAATAACCAATAAAAGCTTTCATCATATATTAGAAACAGTCTGAACTTCCATATCTTGTGTTGAATCTTTAAAGTATACCACATTTCAGTTTAATAAACAAAATTTTTAAGGAAAGAATTTGCTTTGGTTCAGAGAGTAGCAGTATATTTCAGTGATTGTATAGAGACTCTGCAGACAAAATGCCTGGGTTCAAAGCCCAACCTTGTCACTTATCAGAGATGAGACTGGATGCAAATAACTTTGCTTTTTTGTGCCACAGTTTAGTTTTCTCATGTCTAGCATTAGTATAAATAATGGTACCTTCCTTACAGGATTTTTGTGAGTTCACTTTACTAATCCATATGAGCTTCAAACAGCATATGCCAAACAATAGGCAGGTTGCAAGTGATTACTATTAATTTAATTAGCACCTTCTTTGAGAAAACTAGAGTACATCATGGGAAAGAATCTTACCATTATATCATGGAAAGATACTTTATTTCTGGTGCTCAGTACTACACATAAATCATATTTTTTTGCCACAGATAGTTCTTTCTTCTGTTAATCTCTATACTACTAATTAAGCCCCCACAGCTTTTCTAATCCTTCTTCCTGCTTCATTGAGAATACTAGTCTCAAGTGCCTGGGTGGCTCAGTCAGTTAAGCATCTGACTCTTGGTTTTGATTGAGGTCATGATCTCATGGTTCATGGGTTCAAGCCCCACATCAGGTTCTGCTCACAGCCTGGAGCTTGCTTCAGGTTCTTTGTCTCCTACTCTCTCTGTCCCTTCCCCACTCATGCTCTTGCTCTCTCTTGCTCTCTCAAAATAAAGGAATAAACTTTAAAAAAAAAAGAATACTAGTCTCTCTTTTCATCTAAATTTTCTTCACTTTTAGGGGATGGGATATCTTGTTGAAAAGGTCATTCACACACACACACACACACACACACACACACACACAAAGTCATTCACCTACAACCTGGATAACATTTCAACAAACTATTTCCCAGTCTGTGCTCCTCAGTCATTTTCCTTGTCTATTTTCTATGCTCTTACACTGTTTCTCTCATTCCCCTTCTGTCTTTGACCCATAAACATATTTAAGTATCATCATTCCTAACTACCCCCTGTGAACTTTCCTTAATCCTGCATCACCTTTCAACATTGTCCACTCTCTTATCTCTTGCTTCTAGCCTTTTTTCTAAAGATTGTTTCATATATTGCACTCTCTACTGGCTCATTTCCAATCTTGTATTCATCTCTGTTTTTTCTCTGGAATAATTTCCATTAAGAGCAGCCACGACTTCCACATAACTATATGTAATCAGAAAGTATCAACTTTTCTTATTGCACATCACCACCAAATTGCAAAATGTGACACACTTTATTCTTGCACTTCCACTCTCTGAATTCCATGACATGCCCCTCATTCTTACATCTTTGTGCATAATAATTCTATGATATCTCATTTATTGGCTTTTATTGCTTTTGACATCATTTAAATGTTGGTCTTAGGGTTCTGGCACAAACACTACTTTTCTTTTTTTTAATGTTTATTTTTTAGAGAAAGAGTGTGAGGGAGGGTCAGAGAGAGAGGGAGACACAGAATCTGAAGCAGCCTCCAGGCTCTGAGCTGTCAGCACAGAGCCCGACTCAGGGCTCAAACCCATGAACTGTGAGATCATGACCTGAGCTGAAGTTGAATGCTTAACCGACGGAGCCACCCAGGCGCCCTCAAACACTACTTTTCTTCACTCTATCTTTCAGGATAAAATTCATTTCCTTGAGTCTTCCCTACCAATTTCATATATTTATATTTTTATAATCAGTGTAACATTTATGTACAATTAAATGCATAGATTTAATGTATATTGTTGAATGAAATTTGACAATGTAATCTAATCAAAATATAAAATACTTAGTTATCCCAGAGAGTTACCTGTGATACCTTTAAAATGTATTATGTATTGAAATATAGGTTTTGGTTTTAAATACTTTAACTGAATATTAATAAAAACAAAAGATATCACAATTTGTGGAATTAGATATATCAGTGTTTAGATATATATTTTTCAGTTTTAAAGACTTATAACAGGAAAGAAGAATGGTCTCAAATCAAAGCTGTAATATCCCTAATACAAAAAACACAAAAAAGCAAATTAAACCCAAAGCAACCAGAATAAGAAAACAATAAAGAATTGCAATGAGACTCAAAACAAAATAATAATGAAGGCCAATTAATTACATCAACTATTAGTGCTTTGAACATAAGAATAAAACTAATAAAACTTTAGCTACGCTTATAAGATAGAGAAAATTTGATAAAATTTTAGCTACAGTGGTAAGAGAAGACAGAAGGAGAAGTTACTACCTTTGTTAGGAATGAAAGACAGAATATCAATATGGATTCTGTAGATATCAAGAGAACTATAAAAGATCATATGACTTCATGCCAATAAATTTGCTATCTTAGAATAAATGAATAAATTCCTTGAAAGACACAAACTACTGAAGGGTTCTTGAACAACTTTATACATGTTGATATATTTAAAAATTTAATTTAAAAATTTTCGTATAAATACATGTGCACGTAGGTGCACACCCACAAACATGCATACACACAAACCATTACACCCAGATGCTTTCACTGATGAAATCTACCAAACATTTAGAACAGAAATAATACAGATTCTACCCAAACTTTCTAGAAAATAGAAGGGAAAGAAACATTACTCAATTTATTATATGTGCTATTACCCTTTTCCTTTCCAGTCTTCAGATTTTGTAATTTCTAATGATATACCTTCAAGTTCACTGACTATTTTGCTATTTCTAATCTGTTGCTGAATCCTCAACAGCATTTTTATTTCAGTAAATTTTTCAGCTCTAGGATTTCCTTTTAAAAAGTAGTGTTTAAATTTCTGTTGAGATTATCTACTTTTCCTTTCACTGCTAGTATATTATCCTTTAAGCTGTTCAAAATATTTTCATTTACTATATAAACTTAGCTCCTTTAAAGTCATCATCTGTTTCATCCAATACCTAACCCACTGTGAGTCCATTTCTACTGACAAGTCTTTTCTGGAGTTTGGGTCTCACTTTTCTGTGTCATTGCATGTCTAGCAATATTTGGTAGATAAAAATAGGATCTTATAGACAATGAGTTGTAGCAACTCTATATCTTGTCATGTTCTTCTATGAATTATTATATTGTATTTCTAGTACCTGAATAACTTGCATGGCTTCAAACTACAAGCTGTATCTCCCCCATAGGTATGCAGCTTCTATCCCTTCTTTAATATTATGCTTTCCTACTGCTTCCTTTATTTATTTATTTATTTTATTTTTGGTCTTTAGCCCTTGGATAATTCCCTTATGCTTGAAATAATTGCTGCTCTGCTGAAGATCTAGAGATGAGACTTACCCTATCTGTGATTTATTTGCTTTTGAGATTGCCCTCTCATTTTTGATGCTCACCTTCCTTCGGAATCTGCATTCCATACTCCAAAGCCATTCAGTGTCACATTTCTGCCACCTGAGCTGTGAACCTTTGAGGATACAGTCAGTTAAGGCATGTAACAATCTGACAGACTGGCTCTAACTTTCAAGAATAGAACTCTCTTTGGTCTCATTCTCTGTCTTTGTCTCTCTCTCTCTCTCTCTCTCTTTTTTTCTTTTAACCAAGGACACAGGGATGCCCCTCATCCATGCATAATTTAGCTTTCAATCAAATATTTTGGGAAGATTGTATTCTAATTTGGTTTTTGCTGTTTCTGGGATTCTTTCACAGACAGGATTTCTGCACAACCTTTCATAAAGCTTTCCGAACCCTCCTTCTGACCTGCGATACCTTTAGTAGTAAACTGTGGCTTTTCCTACTACTATTTTTGTTTTCTTTGGAGATTAAATGGTGTACCAAGCCAGTAAACTACAAATTCTCAATAAATACTCCATGTTGTTGCAATTGTTTTTAACAATTAAAATATTATCCAGGTTCTGTTGTACTCCAGGCACTGTCCAATGTCTAAACTTCCCTCCACCCCAGGTTTTTGTATTTGTTTTTGCATGGGGTCACATTACCATTTATCTCCTTTGGCATTACCGACTTTTTTTTTTTACTTCCAAACCATGTTTCCGTATCTTTATTAAAGCATATTGACATAAAGAAACTCACATATTTAAAGTTCATTTCTTAATGAGTTGTGTCATACATGTACACCCAGAAAAAGTATCCCCATAATCAAACTAATTAACATAAAAATCACCTCAAAATTTCTTTGTGTTCCTTTCAAATATCCTCACTCCTCATCTCCTACCTTGTTCTCCTATTCCAGACAACCACTGTTCTGATTCCAATCACTGGATCTAGTTTGTGTTTTCTGGAATTTTATGAAAATCTAATCATTTAGTATAAACTTTTACCTGGCTTCTTTTACTCATCATACTTATTTTGTGGTGTGTCCATCTGGCTATATATGTATCATTAGTATACTCCTTTTTATTACAAATTGGCTTTCCATTTTATTAATATACCATTATTTATCCATTTACCTGTTGATTGATAGGGTTTGTTTCCACTTTTATGTTGAGTTATTACAAATAAATCTTCTATAAGCATACACACAAGTAATTGTGAGGGGTTTTTTTTGTTGTTGTTTATTTATTTTTGCTTAATGGACATATGCTTTAATTTATCTTGGGTAAAAACTTAGGAGTAAAATGGCTGGGTCATGTGGTATGTTTAATATTGTAAGAATCACCAAATTTGTTTTCAAAGTGATTATGCCATTTTGAAATCCTCAGTTCAGTGGTTAAGAGTATCAGTTGCTCTATATCCTTCCCAATATTCCTTTTATTAATCTTGGTTAATTGGTAATGACTGTTTCATAGCAGTATATACATCAAATTTTATCAAAATGTACACATTTAAAGTGATTTAATATTATAATCAATAAAATGTCATGACTACTCTTTTTTTCTATTAACAGTGTTCTTTCATTTTTTCAAATACAAATCTGCATTTATTATTTTTTTCAACATGTATGTGTTTTTTTTCTCAGTCTCTATTTCAATATTTGTTATAGCCTATACCAGATTTTAAAGTGTCAACCTAATCTGGCCTGTAATGTATTTGATTTTTTTTTTTTTACCACAATAACATTGCATATGTAATTGGAACAGAAGAGAGTATTTCAGAATGGCATACGCCTTTAATCTCTAACTCAGATCTCGTTCTGTGCTGTGCCACACTTCTGATTAAAAAATCATTTATAGGTACAGTGAGATTTTTCTTTATTCTTTATTTATTTATTTATTTATTTATCTATTTATTTATTTATATTTTTTGGCTTTGTGGCATCTGAACAGAGCCTAGGGTTTGCTGAAGCTCCTAGATAGTTTGCTTCCAGCCTCTACTTGCATTCTGTGTTGCTACTTAGGAGGTTTCCTGAATGACAAACAGCATATCCTGCAATCCCCACAGGCAACCAGACAACAAAACTGATGAATAGCAACTGATGCTTCCTATTTGGCTTTTAAATGCAAAATGTAGCCACTTGAACATCTATCTTAGCAACCAGCTGGAGTGGCACTGCCCATAGTAGACAATGGGACTCTTATTCCGAGTGCCCAAGAAACTAATACACTACCCAAGATACAGAATTTGGAATCCGTGGAGCTAGGTTAGACACCTGACAGGTGAATTGCAAACATCAGTTTAGATACTAACTTATATGGGCTATTTCTCTTCATTTGCAATTGTTGTACTTTTAGTGGCATCCAAACTGCAGCATGAGATTCTAGCCAATATATTTGTATTCTAAAATTAGAGCTTCACCATTGTTTTCAAATGTTTCATATTATAGACCTCATTATTATTGTAAGAAATACCAATATTAAAGTTTCCAGTGAAAGAAAAAAATGAACTGTAAGAGCCTTTGAATATAAATTATATCACATACATTAGATTGGCTGTAAAAATGGTTTTAAACCTTTTATAACCCATTATAAAACAAAAAAAAATTCTCATCACTGGAGATTCTCAAGGTATTCAAGAGACTATTATCAAAAATTCTAGAAAAAAAATATTGTGTGAATCTAATTCAAGCTTAATAAGTGATATAAAATTATGTTAATCTAAGCAAATATGTTCATTATAAGCTTGAGAAAGTTTTATTTGGACATTTATACAAATATCATATTAAAAACTCTTCTAACTCCTTACATTTATTGTAGTTATATAGTATGAATAGAATTTAATTATGTTACTTACCAAGTTCTTATAGATTCCCCCCATAGTCTCTGTAGTTTATTAGTGTGTGAAATACCTGTAACATCGTTAAATATAAATGCAATATTGTGAAATTTGGAGAGTACTATCCAAGCAAATGTAATAGCAAATAATATTTAGTGATTAGACATTGCTTCCAGCCACCTATGTAAAAATGATAATCTTCTGAATGTTCCCCTTGGCAGGTATTGCTCACTTAAAAAGTTAGAACCCCTGATTGAAAAGCTATGTTCATTGCTAGTACCTTATAAGAATTATAAGATGATCTATATAGAAAAGTAGGAAGGTGATATAAAGTTTTGAATTACTTTTCTCCGGTCTGAAATTGTGGGAAGTTCAATCAAATTAATTTCTAGCATTTTTTTCTCCTAAGCCTTGGACACATATTATAGCCAGATGTGAAGACATTTCTAAAACAGCAGTAAAGAAGGAATTTTCAGGTATTAATTATTTTTTCCTCCTTAAGAGTACACATGCATATATATATATATATATATATATATATATATATATATATATAAAGGAGCACATTTACATACAACTGGATGGGCTGCTATGTTCCTAATCTTTTAGTTCCATCTTCCTTCCCCATCTGTGTAAAGGGTTAATTCCATTGCTCCAGTTATTCAAACCAAGATATTTGGTATCATAGTGACTCATCTCTTTCTCTTACACTTACTGTGCAACTTATCAGAAAATGCCAGTTGCTCCTCCTTTGAGATATATCCAAAATCATACTTATCTACTCCACTCCTAACATATAGCTCTTATACATAATTATTTTTCTCTTGGATTACTGCAATTTACTGAAATACTTTCCTACTGGTTCTTCCTAGGTTTTTTTCCCCCTTTTTTTCTTATAGTCTATTCTTTAAAAACAAACAAACAAACAAACAAAAACACCTTAAGGTGTTTATTAATAAATTTAAGTGATATATCATTCCTTGCTCAAAATCCCAGTTCTTCCATTTACTTAGAAGAAAAGCAAAGTCCTAATAATCATTCAAGAACCAGGAATGATATGTGTCTTATTTAGTCAGGATTCTCTAGAAAAATAGAATAGGTAAGATATATATATAGAAAGATGTTTATTATAAGGAATTGGCTCATGCAGTTCTGGAGTCTGAGAAGTCCCATGATGTGCTGTCTCCTGGAGACCCAAGAAAGCACGTGGTGTAATTTGGTTAGAGTCTGAAAGTCTGAGAACCAGGCTAGGTGATGATATAGATTCCAGTCCAGGGTGAAGGCCTAAGAACCAAGAGCACTGAGGGCAGGAGAAGACTGATGCCCCACCTCAAACAATCAAGCAGGAGGGGCAGAATTCTTCTTCTTTCTATCTTTTGGCCTATTTAAGTTCCCAGTGGATTGGATGATGCCCATGTAACTGGGGATGGCAAATAAATCTGTTTTCTTAGAAGTCCACTAATGCAAAAGCTAATTTCATCTGGAAATGTCCTCACAGACACACCCAGAAATCATGTTTAGCCAAAAATCTGGGAACCTTCTGATCCAGTCAAGTTAACATATAAAGTTCACCATAACAATCCCCTTCCATTAACCCTGTGACATCTTAATTAATGTACCATTTTGTTCACAATATTTCAACTTTTTAAAAAAGGTTCATTTATTTTGAGAGAGGGAAGAGGAACAGAGAGAGAAGGAGGGAGAATCCCAAGCAGGCTCTGCACTGACAGTGCAGAGCCCAACATGGGGCTGGAATTCTTGAACATGTGAAATCAGAACATAGCCAAAATGAAGAGTTTGATGGTTAACTGACTGAGCCACCTGGGCACCCACACATTGTTTCAACTTCTCTCTGTTTTATTGACATTTCCTGAAAATACAAATAACAACATTAGAGATTTTGCTTAATTACTTCTTTGCCTAGTATATTATTTTCCTAGATATCCACTTAGCTTACAACCTCATCTTTTTCAAATCTTTGTTCAAATGTTGCCTTCTTACTAAGACATATTTAATAATCCTAACAAGACTCAAACATTTGTATTTATTAAAAATATAATTTATTTTATAGATATATGTACTGCTTAATGTCTGTCTCTTCCACTAGAGATTAAGTACCATGAAAAGAGGAAATTTATTTGTTTTTCTGAATCCCAAGCACATAAAAAGGCCTCTAGTATAGAATAGTCATTCAAGGGGCGCCTGGGTGGCTTAGTCGGTTAAGCGTCCGACTTTCGCTTAGGTCATGATCTCGCAGTTCGTGGGTTCGAGCCCCGCGTCGGGCTCTATGCTGACTGTGACTCCCTCTCTCTCTGACCCTCCCCTGCTCACGCTGTCTCTCTCTCTCTCTCCTAGAAATAAATAAATCATTAGAAAAAAAAAGAATAGTCATTCATAAGTTTCTACTGAGTGAATGAATAAATGTATGCATGAATGATACCTTTTAGATGGAAAAGTGTCTTTCCAGCTCATTTAGTGATTTGCCCAATGATTTGCCAAATTAGACTTCATCTAAGAATCAGAAATGAAATATGGAGGTAGAGTTTCTGCAGTAGGTATCTAGAATAGTAGAATGAATTTTTCTTCCACAAATTCAGTTTTCTCTGTAGAAACACAATTGGAAATAAAATTTTACATATATTTTAGTCTGAAAAACAAAACCTTAGTAGTGTTTAGAAGAAAATGGATGATCTTGATCATATATTCTAATTTAACACATGATTTGACTAAACCCCAGAGCCCCTAGCAGAAGAGCATTAAAGGAAAAGCTTTCTATCATTAATTCAATTTAATTTATTTCCAATCAATGAAATACACCTTGCTAAATAAAATAGTCGTTTTGAATTTAATTATTCAAAATTATTAATTCCCTGTAAGTGAACAATATTTAGACAGAGGTAGACTTGTAAAGCTATAAATCTTATTTTACAAGAGACAGTTTTATAAGATGAGTTATTAGGATAAGCAATTAAATTTAATGGGACTGCTTCAGTACTTGCTTCTAGTCACATTCATCTCTGATATTATTACTACTTTTCTCAGCAATCTTAGGTCCCTGTGAAACTAGTGCTGTCAAACTAAGGTTTTTAGAGGAACTGGGGATTCCTTCTATAGTTGCTGTTCCTGCAGTTTTAGTCACTTCCTTGCTGTAATTCTTCTATCACAGAAAATTGAAGACTCATGTCTTTGCATTCATGGAAGGGAAACACAAAACAGAAGAAAACAAAACAAAACAAAACAAAACCCCAGCAACTTCTCAGTCCATTATTCCCCTCAAATTGATCAGGACATGTTACAACCTGAACAAATAGGGAATAGAGGCTTAAGACTTTTTTCCTAATGGTATTAAGTAAATTGATGAAAGGAAGTGTTATACATTTAATCACTTAAGATATACTTAACTAGAGGTTGCATTATTATTTACTATTCAGCAATAAAGAGAACTAGAGAGATTATGTAAATTAGTAACATCTATCCAATCAGAAGATGGGAGAGTCAATATTTAATCTTCCTGATTCCAGATCAAAGGATTCCTGCCTTCTAGATTGCAAAATCTACCATGCTTGGAAAATGAAAGAATGTGTGATCTAACCATACTATCATCACAGCCTTGTCTTTCTATATGAAGTTTAGGCTTTCATTTTGTTCAGTCACAAGTCAGGTTCATAGAAGAAAGTAAGCATTCCATCTTTAAGAACTTCAGGGCTAATAGTGAGCTCTAGGTTTTTAGTAATTTGAAAAACCTTATTCTTGAGATCAAGTTACATATTTTAAATTTAAGCAAATTAATTGAAGTAGCAGTGTTGAAACTTCTGAAATCTATGATTAATTAAAAATCTGGGAAGATGAGAGAATGTCCATGGATAAATATATTAATATGATATGGAAATAATTATTTTATAAGATTAACTGGAATTCTTAATTTGTGCATTCTGGAAAGTAATCCTCATGGACAACCTATTCTCCAATTAATTTTGTTTAGAAGAAGTAATTCATACATACCTAAACTATACACAGAAATTTTCTATGATTGTAACTAGGGTATTCATTATCCCCTTTACAAATTAAAACCATGCCACTATGAAAATTCTAATAAATTTTGGTGCAGCTAGAAAAAAATGAGAGAAGGATTTGTTAATTCTCCAACTGTACTTGTATATTTCTGCATTTTGAGAGAATTGTAGGCAGTCCCTTACAGAACTCCAAAGTGACACTGTCCATTAGAGTAATCCCATGATGTGTATGAATAGCCAATTCTAGTACCCTCATTCAGTCATTGTCTGGGAGCATCCTGGAAATAGTGTGACCTTGGCATGAGATTTAATGGCAGATATTAGTGGTGCAGCAGCATAAGGCTATCAGCTAGCTATATTACTGTTACAGCAGCTTCCCTCTTAAATGGACATCTGAGCGCCATACATCCATGGCTTCCATAGTTCACCTCTTTAATATAACAAATTCACTACTTCATTTATATTTGTACAGCAGTTCTTTCATGGCCTCTATGTGAAACTTAAAAGAAGTTTAATTGGATAAATTATACACCCACCAATGTAGATTGTTTCAGGGCCACAACTGTTATTCACTTCCTTTCCCTCTCTTATCTATTCTAAGTTTTCCTATTCTTCATTTTTATCTCTGTGGTTTTGTTGATCTGGGACTATGATCCAAATGTTTGTTCCCATGGTGTCTGACACTTTGATGATGAAGATTTAATGGGGAAGGGGATTGCTACACAGGCACAGGCTCATTGACATTCATAATTTGGCAGGGTAATATCAATTACTTTTGAAGTAGGATCTCACCAGTATTTGTCTGTGATCCCATTATGTAAAAAGAAAAAAATCCCGCTGTTATGTTTATCTGAATAAACTGTTTATATCAGAATAATCATTCTGATTTTTCCCTTGCTGGTCTCTGGAAACCAAGTGATAAAAATGACCAGATCACTGTAGGGGTAGTTCATTTGAACCCTACTATATTCTGGAAAGATTGTCCCCTGACTTGGGGCTAGATCCTCTAACTCTGTAAAGCATAGGGTTGAAGGATTGGATGCACAAAGTCTCCCGGTGGGTCACTGGATCTAATAGCAACTGGGGACATTTATTGCTCCCACACATTGTTTCCTGGACCATGTGTTCTGCCTCCTTTGTCTTCAGTTATCATCTACATGTTGATGCCATGTTATTGTACCCTATCTTCAATTTAAGACACCCAGTTAATCTTTTGTGAGCCTTCTAGATGTTCCATGATGTTACAGAGTCATTCAATTTATGTGGTAATGTTTCTGAATACAGTGATCTGCCCAATATTCCACTTGTAGTCACCTGATTGAGGTTGTAACCTCCTCATCTGTTAGTCAAATGTAGGGCTTAGGGATATAGAATACATGCTCAGAGCATGTAAATTCAGCACACCCATAGGAGAAACCTGAGCTTTAGAAGAGAAGAAAGATATGATAATTGGATAATGCTGTTGAAAATTGTTAATGGTGTAAAGTAAGACCATACAAATAAATATGAATTCCATCAGTGAAATTCTTATCCGCTTTAACTTTATCAAACCTCATTTAGATTAGGATAAAATATTCTCAATTTTAATATTTAGTTGCTTTTTTGTTTTGTCTTATTTCACTTTCCACAGTCAGCTTTTTATATAGCAAATATTATTATGTTACTCCACTGTTAAAACTATCCAGTGCCTTCTACTGCCTCCAGTCTACCAGTCCACTATATTTGCTATGCCAGACATCATTGTGTCATTTGAATATTATGCAATGTTTCAGTCTTTGTTGGTGAGAGATCCTGTATTAGTGTGACAATGTTTACTTCTCCAATTTCAAGCTTGTTCTCCTAACCATTCTGAAACAACTATAGACCTCCAACTCACAATTCTCTACTAAGAAATTTCAAGGGATTTAGAGTCAGAGGACCAATTCTATCCCTTCCACTCTAATTTACAAGTGGTTTTGCTTTACCTAAACTTTCCTAACCTCAGTAATGGAAAATTTTTACGTACCTTGTAGGCAGTGCCCTGTATCAATTCCATTTGTTTTATTTTTTTTAAAGTAACATGATATGTGCTCAAGCAAAGAACTACAGTTTAAATAATGCTATTTTAAAAGGTGATTTTAACATTTTTGCTACATTGCAAGTATTAGTAAATCTTTAATTCTTCATATATTGATATAATTTGTTTTTATGTGTATATATATTTGAATGTATTCTGAGAAAGTATTAACCACTACACATTTGATATAGTTAAGGATTTGAATTGCAAAATTAGTTTGAGGCAGTCTGAGAAATTTGGAACTCTATAAAGATGATCAAGCATTTTATTATTCCTAAATATATTGTAGGAATAAGTGCAAATATTTCTGAATGTCTGCTGTAAGAAAAGAACAGTTATGGAAATGAGTGATAATTTCTTATATAGAATCAATTATTTATTTCCTTATTTTTAAATGTTTATTTCTTTTGAGAGAGAGAGAGCAAGCAGGGGAGGGACAAAGAGAGAAAGAGAAAGGGAGAGAGGGAGAGAGAGAGGAAGAGAGAGAGAGAGAATCTCAAGCAGGCTCCACACCATAAGAATGGAGACCAACATGGGGCTCCATCTCACAAAACTTGAGATCATGACCTGAGCCAAGATCAAGAGTCAGATGCTTAACCCACTGAGCCACCTCGGTGCTCCTATGATCAATATATTAAAATATAAATTGTTGCGGACGAAATGACACAAAGGACAAGACACACACAAAAGACAGACACAGACACAACTCCGGCCGGAGGAACAATTCTATGCAAGCCCCTCTTGCGGTTTATTTTATACCCCGGTTACTGGATACAAACTGAAATCTACAAGATGCATTCCTTTACCAATTAATGGCAAGTAGCCAAACACATTTCAAGGACAGGGGGGAGCAAAGGGAGGAAGCGACCACAACATGTTTACTAAGAGGCCTGCTCACAATTCCAGCCTTCTCCTTACTTCTAAGGAGGGCATGTTCCCTCGTTTGCGAGCAGACCATTAAACTTGGATATTGTGTGCCAGCCTCCTGGCAGAGCACCCCGTTTGCAGGCATGCTTTGGCCAGGCAGGGAGCCCCGTGTGCAGGCACATCCCCGCGTCCCTAACCACGCTTTCCTGTGGTCACTGTTGGGTTCCCACATAAATTGGAAGAATATTAAATTATATTAAAATATAAATTGGAAGAATATTAAATTAAATATAAATTAATGCATATTAATATGCCTTAATTACCTATGTTATTATTTAAAGCTCTTACATTCACATATACATGCCAGTATATAACAATAAATTAATCCTTAGTTCTGTAGTTGAGAATATTCTGTTCTATACCTGTAAGTCTTGGTCAAAAGGGCAGAGAGGCTGTTTTCAGTAAATGGAAACTTTCAGAATCTTTTGAATCACACTAAACTCTACCCTGTTCCTCTATTCCAAGAAGCATAGCAGGGAAAATACCCTTTTATTAGAGTCAAAGGCTCTTTTTAGGAGCTCTGTACTATGAGCAAGTAATAACTGAGTTCCTGTGGGCTTAAATGCCAAAAGCAGATACCTCTGAAATTCTGACAAGCTTT